CGAGGTGGTTCCGTCCACAGGTGCACCCTGTGACAGGGTAACGCGATATCGTGCGATCTTTCGACCTCGAAGCAAGATCCGCAACTACGAGCCCGAAGGGCGCGATGAATCACCCGCAGGAAGTGATCACCGCGCGTACACACGTTCCGAGAGAGCGAAGAGCGTTACTTGTCACGCTCGTGCCAATTTGTGCGCGCCGCTACGCAACGCGTCGGCCTCCTCCTCATCACCGCGCACTTTCCACTGTCCACTTTCCTTCGACTTGTTATCTTGTTGTCTTTTTTATTTACCTTCTATGGACGAGATCGAAATCGTATCGTATCGTATCGTTAAAATTAAGGTTAAGCGTATCGTTCTTCGAAGACGATGCTCGAGGACAGTAACTCGAACGAGTATCGCGCGCGAGAGATTGCAAGCGTTACACGCGTATTTTGTATCTGATAAGGCGGCATGCATGCGAGCACGGTAAAATATTTAGTTGAAGAACGGCGAAACAAAAGCTCCGGGAACAGCGGCTTTTCTCAGTACGCGGTGTCAGGAAAACGCAAACGATACATGATTTACGAATGCCATTCGCACGGCTGTCGCAGGCTGTGCACGGCGGTGCACCCGCTCCACTGAAATACTCGGCGATTACGAGGAAACGAGCGCAACAGGTGCCGCCGCCTTGTCTACCGTTGACAGTCTTTTATAATCTTATCTCGGCTCGGCTCGGCTCGGCTCAGCACCCCCTGATTTCATCGTATATTTCTCCTTCCTTCAACAGAGACACACAAAGACGCAACGAGACGCGTGTCTTTCTCCTTCTTTCGAACAAAAAAAGCTTCTACAAAGAATCGCTCAATGTTTGATCAAAGCAATGCCAATGTTCGATTCGACGCGCGACCTTCAAACTTATTGGGCGACTGTCGCTTCAGGTTCATCAATTCTTTCACAATTTACGCATCGATCAGTATTAATAGTAATGACGAGTATCGAAGAGAATGTAACAATTGAATTTGGCGTGTCGCGATCGTCAAGAGTTCAACATCTAAGAGGAGATGACACAGAACGTGCGATTAAGGAATAACAATAATCTGCATACTCGAAGGAACATATTATTACTCTTCCTCTCGTCGAGCATTCATTACCGTGGCAATAAATTTGACAAACGGAGAGAAAAAACCGAGAGAAACCGCAAGATAAACCGCGGAGAGATATTCCAGAATAAAATGTTCCCGAGCTAACGACTCATTATTGCATAAATCTTAAAAATAACTCACTAGACTACGCTGTAACACTTTAATCAGACATGAAATGAACGACGATGTTATGTTTCGCCTTGATGTCATATTTCATTATCTCTCGTCTATTTTTACCATATTATTTTCAACTTCTTCCTCGAGGAGTCGAGGATACGAACGTCAAGCATCATAATTTCACGAAACGCGAACAGATTAATCAATTTCAAAATCAATCAAATTCAATCGACAGTAAATTAAATTGGTGATTAAATTTTCGTGAAAATTCGTCTGTCTCCTCGTCTGTGAACTCGACTCGTGTGAACAAAGCAAGGCTCGAATGGAAATTTGCCTCTGCGAGTAAACGTTGTAAAATTATTGGACGTTATTCTTATCCTTTGTTTCGCCGGCATAGCGAGAATCATCGAGAAGTGAGAAATTATAGATAGACTCGAGGTTTCCTCAGCCACGGGTATTGGCAATTGGCAAATCCTTACCAAATAACGGCACGTTCCTTCGAGAGGGGATATAAAACGCGTACAACGAATGGTAGATTCATTCACGGAAACGCGGGAGAAATCATTCTACGGTGACGCAGCATTCGATGACATTGTTCGTCGTAATTCGAGTAGGCGGACTTGGTCATCGTAGTGAAATTTTCCACCTACGCAAAATCCTTAAAATCGAAGGCATTGCACTCGAGCGCCAAACACTTGGAATTGCCATCGTTCTTTCAACACACGTGTAGATATATATTTAGTTCAAACGATGACATTAGTGTACTTTGTATGTTTTTGAAAGAGTACAGAGATATATACGAAATCCAAATTAACGGTTTCACTTTTTAATCGATAGTTGGGAATGCATCGGTCGAAGGGTACTTTGATCCAATCTTTCAACAACATCTTCTCAATGAATCAAACTACCGAGAAAGAAAAATATCGTCATAATTACAGATATGACGTTTAATTTCAATTGATAGGTGCGTCTTCGTGCTTAATCACTGACAACGTGAGCAACAACGTCAAATTAAATAAAAATCCTCTTCCTCGTCGCATCGATGACTGTTTAAATTCGTTTCTTTCTTCCAGAAGAGTATGTCTGTATGTACATTGTACACACGCAGGTGTATATTCTTCGATGGGCGGATAGAGTTAATTCGCGAGATCAATATCTGCAGTCAAATCATCTACGTTGCCAGAGAAAATGCAACTTCACTGTGACACACAATTGGAAAATCCGCGCTCGGAAAGTTTACCAAAGTAAGATTTTTCGTAACGCGTTACACACCTGCGATGTGCTCATCGGCAATGAGAAATTGTTCCTAACGATCGATCAAAGCGCGATTTTAGAAGATATTGAAGAAAGACTAGTAGAAGTTTTTCCAATATTCAGCTCTCCGTTATATTCACACACGTACGAGTAAAAAACGATCGTGTATCGTTCACGTACAATTACGTACGTCGATAGAACGTTGTCTCGCTTCTTTCCTTTTCTTCTCTTTCCTCCAATCACGAGGAGCGTGCCCGTTGCGAAATTTTCCAATTAGCCTGTAAATCGCGAAACAATGGAAACAATAAGTGGTTGAAACTTGTAATCAGCGTAATGAACAATTGCATTTGTCTTTGAAGCGAAGTGGATGCTCTAGAGAGTCTAGAGATTCTAGAGAGACAGGCACGGTGTCAGCTGGGCAAAATGGAGCAATGCCGATTGGCCGATGATTTCGCGAGCATACCAGCTGGATGAGCATTCGCGATGGGTGCGGTAGCTAGATGGCGATCGGTCGCCATCACGCGGATCGGCCTTTGCTAGAGACAGAACGATGCCGACGACAATTATGCGAGCCAAGCCCGCGAGATGATGATCTAACGCACGCGCTCGCTTTCCCTGCACTTCTCTGCTCTCTGCTCTGTGCCCTGTGCTCTGTGCTCTCCTCGCACACGGTTTCGCGATCACGCGCTAAAAATAATAGCAGACAAGCACGATCAGACGAGCCGAATCAGCAGACGACGAGCTGAATCAATCTTCGCGGAGGAAGAGAAGCGCAGTTTCTCCGCCACCTTGCTCCTTCGCGACTCGACTACCACCTCTGTTACGTGTACACATGCACATGTACATACTGCCGATTTCTACCGTAGCTGCAGTTTATTCACCGATCGTTGCACCCACGTCGAAACTCTACTTGAGAGATTCGTAAAAATAACTCTTCGTCGACCGCTCCGCTCCG